TGCTCAGCATGAATGAAGATAGGAACCATAGAAATAAGCATCTAGAGTAGACATTATGTTTAGATATGTTATTTTGTAACTTTTGAAAAAAAATTTGGATATAGATAATGTGTAATAAACCGAATTTTATGAAGAGAACCCGATTCATTACAACAATCAGTTGTACTAGTGATTGTTTAACTGTGCTTTTTGTCTACTACACTCTGTACGCGCAAACTTACTGTTTATTTTGCTGCCATTTTGGCTCCATTGTCTCTGTAATTTCGCGCCTCTTTTCTGGAACGATTTTGCTATTCTTTCGATATCATAAATCTCCCAGTTAATATATTCTTAACTATGGAATAAACCTTATTCTCTGCGACAGGCTCGTAATTGCTTGTAGTGGTGGTCATAGTCACTCACGACTCGATCGCCTCTACAAATGTATACTGTGCTGAATATTCTGTGTGTAATAATCTACCAAACCACTTTACTATCATTAAAGTACCAAAGCTTTGTTTATTTGAATAGAGAAATAAGAAGACATATTTTGTGAGATAGTACCATTTCGTGCTTTCTCGTCAGTCACATACAAGCAACATGTTATTTGTGTAAATACAGTTTTGAAGATAAGGTCAAAATTTCTTATTTAGCATGACATTCACTCACTAGAACCATGGTAAACAAAGGTCAACATACAGTTGTTTTTGAACACATAAAGTTGGAATTTTTTCCGACCAACCAAGATAGCTTCGAGTAGTTTGAGTGTGTGTGGGTTTTGATTACATGTCACAACTCTAAAGGCTGATTTTAGGTCAATTTGATGATCACTCATCATTAGATGTTTTGCAATGGATGAGGCTGGGTTTCTTGATCGATTTTGAGATGATGGGCTAGGTTGATGAATCACGTATTTGATTAGACATTTTGGAATATGTTCCCCTATCCTGTCTTCCAATCGGCGATCTGTCCTCCCTAAGTAACTTTCTCCGCAGTTTCATGTGAATTGGTAAATACAGTGGAATTTGGACTGAATCGGTCTTGGAGACTTGATTGGGGTAACTGAGATCGATTGAGCTGTTGTGATAAGCCTCAGATTAGCTGCATTGAAGGTCTTTTTTATTGCAGCTGCAGTCTGTTTGGTTGTAATTTTCATGCAATGATCACCTTTGAAAGGTAACTGTAGGTACACTGGTTTCTTGGGCACATCAGTTGCTATCAGCTTCGTCGTAGTTGTGTTCTTTGTTTATCATTAAAATAACTCACACATTAATGTACAATTATTTAAAAATGACACTAATGTTACATCACACATTATGAACATATGAAATACAATCGAATCACAAAACACAACCGCATTGTTTGCCTAAATATTTTCCCCTCACTAAATGACTCTTCCATTACGAAAAAAATTATTATTTTTTAAAATCTAACTGGACAGAATCAATTCGTACTCAATCATTCTGAGAGAGGTGGTTGATAATATTTATTCTATTCATTTATTTAGATATTAAACCAATAAGCTATTAATTTGGTGAAATACATTCCCCAAACTAAACTCTGTGTTCCCTATACATTATTGAATGAAGCAGTAATCATTAAGCTTTTCAAGGTTTCCTCCAAGTTGAAAGCAACTGAACACTGTGTAGATTAAATGAATGACAATAATTAAGTAAACTATATTTTGCTTTCTGAAAAAAAATAATCTGTGAACTATACTGTCCTAGAAAATTACACTAGTACAACACATGTATTACAAATGTACATCTATATCCGACTACTATATAAACAATAATAAAGATTTATGATAGAAATAACGGACTATTGTACAAACATCAATAGTTGTATAAAAATCGAACTAAGTTATATATTAGATTAACAGCCGAAAGACATGAAACAAATGAAAATTAACTGAATACTGCAAAAAAAAAAAAAAAGAATTTAATTCAAATAATGAAACAGAGACGACATCACGAGATTCACTCTGACCTAATTTAAACGTGATAACATTTTCTTCAATGTAGACAATGACAGAAATTTCTGTCACATTATGCAGACTAAATACAAATGGTGGTAGGTGCATTAACATTTATTAAATAATTACAATCAGTGGTCAGTTGGTAAATGTTTATTTTACCACATGATAAAATGGGATTTTGTTCTGAATTGTATGCATGAAACAAACCTATCTAAGCTGAATGGTGTTGCACATGCAAAGAAAGTAACCAAAACTGAGCAAAATGATATCGTACACAATCTGACAGATACAACTAAGACATTTGTCAGTGTAGTGAGTGAGATGAGGCACAGTTTCAATGAATTAAGTATTTGGAAAAGAGTTTTATTGTTAATAAAATTGAACAAACTCAATAGGTTCTGTCTATATCACACACTTAGATGGAATGTAAGTTGAAGAAAGAAACTCACCACCCTGGATAACAATAACACAATATTATCAAGATAGGTTTAAAGTGTGAACAAACTGTTTCTGATTACATAAAGAAGGTTTGAACTGTCGTATAGACAAGGTTTCAATAAACCTGAGTAGACGGCCTTAAACACTTTTATACAATACAACAAAAGCCTAATTAAGATCAGTGTTATGATCTGTTTCAACTATGTGTTTGGCAATAGAAGACAATGGATGTTTATCCTCTATTCATATTGAATCATTCAATTTTATTTGTCTTCGCAGCCATTTAGGCGCGTATTCGGACACTCTTAATTTGCAGATAACGAATACTTCTCCCTATATGTGTGTTTTCACACACACACACACACACATTTAAAATTGATATGCTCAATGGGCTGTGAAAGAGTAGTTGCAATATATACGTTTTAGGTTATTGATGAATGGTGGATCTTGTTTTAGATATGATAATGACCTTTGATGAATAGATCGTTTTACTGATGATGGATTTGAGCCTTTCTTTCAATATAGAGCTATTGAACTCACCTCTAAACAGTAGACCGATGTAAACAGGCTTTATTCACACTAGTTTTCTTGCTTAATCTTACACTTCACTTGTCTAATCGTCCTTTTATTTTAATATCAGCTAGTCTTGTTATAAATACCCATAAAAAATTGGTGGTGCATGCCTCATGTTGTTTAGGAAATCACATAGTCAATCGTTAGATAAAGTTTACAGAAAATTTGATTCAACTAACTTATCTATAATCATGACATAGTTATTGAATCGATTGTGAGATCAATAACTTGTATATTGTTTTACATTTACGATCAATTTAAGGATTTTTGAATGATTCGTTTTAACTAGTGTGGTTTACAAATAGAGACATGTAGATAGCTTCATGAAAATTGTTTTTTTTGCGAGTACCATTAGGTGACTCGAGAGATCACAAGTTTTTAATAGTTTCATAAAAACTCCAAATGAGTGACATTGAAAACCTATGCATTAATAGACTGTAGGAGGCAGATATGAAGGTTCGATCTAACTTTCGTCTATGATCACAGAGGTAAGTTAACGAATATATATAATCCAAGAGTTTTTAGAGTGACAAAAATTTGTATCTACTAATTTACATGCTTATTAAAAGCATTTTATATTGACCGTACAGAGAGTTCCACAGAGTTTCAAACACATATCAGACAACCAGATATCTTGGTAATCTGAAGATGAATCAAATCGTAATTACTATTTCATTTGCGTACATCAAGTTAGTGACAATTTTCTTATCTCATATTGTGTCAAACAAACTTCCTGTAACGGAAGTTGGATTGAAAACGTGTGGACAGTACATGACATGGTGATCCATCAATTAGGTTTAGTCAGTTTTAAGAAGCGACCTATCTAATTCTCTGTTTAACTGTGACTGTAAAACCCGTGTTCTTATGTTGAAGGTTGTTTTTGACAAGTGTCCACCCCCTCATCGTCTTTTCTGCATTCAGTCAAGTGGACATTTATCCTTCACGCTTATGTGCTATTTTCTATTTTAATCTTATTGCCCACTAATTATTACGTAATTGTACTCAAAAGCTTAGATTTTTTATTGAAATTTGGCTGCTTTTATTGACCCGAAAAACTCTTGTTTAATGCAAATGACTATGAATAAAATGACAACTTCAGTGAACCGAATAGTCATAAAGAAAACTTTTCTTCGTTAAGTTGTATTTCATTCCTTACTGATGTGAAAAGAAAAATAAAGGAGCAGAGACAACCAACAAAAGCTATTTTTGACAACATTGATCCGCTTATTCAAAGTCTATAAAATACAAACATTTAGTTTTGTTTGTCTTTTTATGCTGTAAGTTCTAAGCTTTCGTTCGCTGCATGATTCTGTGCCATACTTTTTATGGTTGTAAATTACGATGCTTAAAACTTGATATTTACATACTCCATTTTTCTACCTGAATCCCTAGTTCGGACATAATTGCATTTTTCTGATTCTTTGTACGTTTTAAATGGACTAGATGTGTACCTATTCGTGCCTCAATCAGAAGTGAACTGATTAGTGATCCAACCAACTCATCTTTTCTCTCTCTCTCTCACTCGCATACCAACCTATCAAATAATAGATCAGTATTCTTCTCTTTACTCCTATAACTGTATAATTGCAATCGGACTCAATGATGAACTAAATAGCCTGTCGTGTCAATAATATAAATCAGAATGAAACCGGCAGAAGGATCAAGATGATTACACAAGTATTTCTTTCAAATGATTTTGGACTGAAGCTCTATGGTAAGTCATAAACAAATATTAAAATGTATACCTTCCTGCTCATCAAATGACAGTTGGCAGCTATTTTCATTTTAAACACAATAAAACATAATTGATAAAAGCCAGACCACTACGGGAAACCTGGGAATACTGGATGGCTGAGTCTCCTCAGCAGTGCACATTCATGACTTCGCACGCACGAATCAAACTCGGAACTTTCGGTTCCTCTGATGGACCACACACTAAGATGAAACGGCCGTCCAGCGCTTCTGTGTTTCCCGTAATGGTAGAGTAATACACTCCCCACAAATCCGCCTCATTAAAAACAATAGAACGTACCTAATAGCCCAGGTAAGTGTAGAAACTCCATTATCTCTCCAAACATGAAGCCAAAACCATAGAAAATCAGTATACTCAAAGCCTCACCATGACGACATTCAAATGCTTTTTCGACTTTGCTCCCTGAGGATTGAATAGCATTCTCTGAAGTATTTGAAGACCCGTCTAGTCTTTTTATTACAGAAAATGGTCGACATTGTGGAGGTAAGGCAATGCTTGCTTTGACAGATATAATACATGCATAAATCGCCAAAAGAAATAGTCCATATGTAAACACACCGCTTGAATGAGTATACATCCATAATAATGGTCTAGATAACCAAGAAGGTAATTTGATACGTTTTAAGCATGTTCTATATTTAAGTTTAAAATTTTCACGACATTTTTTAAATCGGTTAGTTTTATCTTTTTTAGTCTTCGGAATTTCTGTACTTCCACTGTCAAATTCACTACTGAAATTTTTCTCGTAGTTCATTTTATGTTTATCAGTTTTTGACATGATCCCACTTTTTTCATTAGTATTAGAAGAATTCAATTGATTTTGAACGTCTCCGTCAATTAATCGAAAGTAATTTTTATTCGAATCACCATTTAAATGTTCGTCAGCTTGAATAATCTGAGTACCAGATTGAGACTGAAACGATTGTTGATTGTTTATAGTTTGGTCACAAGGTGAACTACCGCCTTCATCAACTGTATCAAGACCTTCACGATAGTTCAACAGAGATACTGTAAAAAAAATTTATAAAGAATAGAATGCTTTTTATAGATTCGGAATTTTAGTAGAATCAAAGAGTAAATTTTTCAATAACGAAAACTGTATCAGAAACACTGTCAAATGTTGGGTTATGCTTTAATGAACATTGATAAAACCAGTTTTGTAAACTTACTTTGATGTCATGCTCTACTTAAGTCTACAACTGACTAATCATTTAGATATTTTGTTTGCATAGATTCATACAAATCAGAATTTAAATTCAAATCTATTGATTTAAAAGATAATTTAGAATAAACGTAAACTTTCTTTTGCAAATTTAAAGAATATTGATCATATTGATATTTTGTGTTTAATAACAAAATCTGACTTAACCTATGCAGATTACAGATTACAAAGGAAATTATAATTAATAAGTAAATCAAATTTCGAGTCTGTTTGTTTTTAGGATCTTTGCGACTGTACTTCCCTTGAATGAAATTCCCATGGAAATAGTCTACCACGTTAGTTTCAGGATAAAATGTCTGTAGGCGGACCTGAACAAATAGACATTGCTGACAAGTGTCTACCGTCATTTATCAAGTTCGATAGCATGTGATCGTTACAAATACAGGTCATATAACATTTAATGTTCATACGTTTACTAGAAATTGTTGACAGCAATCATTTGTTTCGTTAAGCCAAATCATTTGAACTCAACTGCGTCCAACATTTTTCAATTGAGATTTATCTACAAAACGTATTTATTATCTTTTCAAAAATCTTATTCTTCATTTACAATGATAAAACTACCATCAGACACCTTAAGTGTGTGAGAACAAATTGATTCAATTACAAAAATTATGTCATGTTGAGTAAGTGCGAATAAAATTTAAATTAGAGTTTATAACCTTCCATGAATTGTTTTTTTTATGATAAATAATGTTTGCTTATTTGAAATAACTTTTTTCAAAAATCTCTATTTAAAACATTGTTTTATCATAACATTCTCAAACGAAACATCACCAAACAAAATTGCTAACTTGCTGTCTCTATATGAAAGGATTATGGTGTGATGGCTAATTACGTGTTCTAAAACTTCGTGATTCACTCGTCTAGGCAATCAGCGTCAAATAACACCTGACGGTTAAAAATCAGACGGTGAATACGAAGTGTCGAATTCGTCTATTTTTAGCAGACCACAAAAATGGGACAGAGGACCACAAGCAGACAGGTCAGGCACACTAGCGCGCGAATGTGCGAATGAATGAATGAAGCGAAGTGGAGAATGCTAGTAAACCAACTACGAGAAATAAACTATGACTAAGAATTTATAGTCAGAGAAAAATAAGACAGACATGTAGTAAGCGAGTAGGCATGTACATACACGAATACAAGTGACTAATGAGTAACAAGGTCAAAAGACAAGTGGAACAAGTCATGTGAGCAAGACATTGAATGACTCACTACAATGGATAAATTATTTATTCTTCGACAATTTGGAATGTATTTGATATTTACAAATATCGGCGGATAATTAATTAGCGAGTGGTCATTCATCTCCATCGGTTCATTGCCAAGTTTACTGATTACTGCCTTAGCGCATTCATTCTCCTAAGTATATAAGCAACCAGAAATTGATTTACCTTTCTGGCAAGGCTTAAATTACTAATACTACAAATATTAGCATTTGTAGAAATCACTTGTGCACGATACTGCAAAGAAACAAACTGTAAAACGGACATGAACTGATATTATTATTGATCTACTACTTTCTATGATGAATAGACATTTGTGGACATTATCGTTTCAGTTTTATTTACTTTTTCAATTTTTCAAGAAACTACAAATGAACAAATTGTACATTGGCAATATTTATTCTTTATTTTTTCTATTTATCCGACTAAAAACGATTGAATATACATATATTTGTTCTACTCTATCACTTGAAAAGTAAACCAGCATTTATGATGGATTTTGACATTTCTACTGTACAGGATGCTTGATTCAGTGAAAATCAACCGTATTAACAGAGGTTGTTGAACACTAACACTTGAAACACAAGCATCAATTCACAATAGCAATATTTCTTACATACGATTTTGCTTGTACTTTGAATTTTTGATGCATATTAGTTTTACTAGACAGTAATAAATTCACATTGAGTTTAATATAACAAGTTTAAAGTACTAAGACGTGATTAGACTTTTAATAAATCAAATCAAAAAATGGGAAGCAGATTTGGAAACAAAACAATCTGTACATATAGACGTAAAAATTTCCTAAATATGTAGCCAACAAAAAAAGAAATATATATTATTCCCATACAAACAAAATGTCACCATTATTTGGTTACTACACAGTGAACAATATTATTTTACATACATCTCTGTCTTGAAAGAGGTTGGCCATGGTTCAGATAGATTAGTGGAAATGTCCCTGAGTGTGGAACTATATGACATGGGACAGAAACTCACAGTGAGTATTGGTTCTCTCTAGGCTATAGGTACACCTTGCTTGCAGGAGTCAAATAGCACAAAACCTAGTTCCAAGGTTTTATCGTTCACTATATCCAACCATCACCTTGCAAAATGTCCCTTTCATTTCGCTACATTCATTTGCACATTCTCTCAAGATTAAAACTAAATTCGACCATTTGTATAGAAGTTTGCTCTTATGATTTTCAATTCTCGTAATGATTCGAACTACTTTTGCTATTGTTTTAGTGATATGTCGTTCAAAGACAAATCAAAATTCATAAATTTTCCATTTACTAGTACTTATAAATTACATAATTTCAAGATGTCTAGATAATATTACCAAGCAATGAAACCGACGATATTGTACTTGTTCTTAATTTTTTTTAACAATAAAATAACAGTTTCAGAAAATTCTATTTCACTTCATGTTCATTTGATTTAATCTGATAAGGGTTATGGTAATACGCTACAGTGTATATGTTCTTCCCATATAGGTCTTTTCATTTCACTGGTAAAATATCAGAACCTTAAATCAAGGCAAATTTACAGAAGGGTCAAAATAAATGCCAATAGAAAACCAGTTGAATTGATAAATCTAATCAGTAAGACTTCAATGATAATATGACACTATGTTAGTGAAATATTTGCAAAACTTATTCTTCTGTTGATTAATTTGTAAAGAAGTTGTTCTTATTAATACCACGTGTAAAACATTTCAATACACTGAACCATATATAAATCTCATGTTGTATACAGATGAGTAGTATGATTAAATCTATAACTAGTCACCATCCAATGCTTACATATTAGTTAGACAACTAATGAAAACCAGAAAGTACTGTCCATTTATTTCATACAAATTAAGGATATTCCAGACGTTTACATAGAGGATGTTATCTTAGACTAGAACGTGGGACCTTAGTTATTGGAATATGGTGGGTTTAACTTCTAGTCTAATGGTTTGCATGTCAAACTTCAATCAATTCTCAATATCTTCAACCAGCATTGATAGATAGCTGTCTCTCATCCTGCATATTTGCGCATTACTAAAAGTCCTTAGATGGTACCTAAATATTCGTCACTAGTAAGAACATTATTATTATTAACTCAAAATGTAAACGGAAACTTCATGGATTACAACATTTTTTTCTCATGCACACATTCGGTTATCATCCTAACAAAATTTTTACTTTTTGTGATTTTATCAAGAACTAAGAACAGAAATACATTTTACTTCACCACTTGTACTATAATACTACTAACAATGTTTCATATGCTATCTGATTTGAACACTCAAATTAATGTTTTTGCATAAATAATGAAAATAGCTTAACTGTTGTAATGAACTATAATATGAAATAATTACTTTGATTGCCATACTTGTTACACCTTATTTGTAAGGTGAAAAATGGTTAATTTCACTGACATATAGGCCATAATCATTGGGGCTATGTTTTATTATGTTACTTCAAACCCTTGACAAGATAACAGTTTACAATGTACTAACTATTCTATATGATTATTATTATTATTATTATGATTATTATGAATCTGATTTAAATAAATGTAATTCATACCATGAAATTTCGCATTTAATCAAGAATGACCTTAGGTGAAGAATTATTTTTCTTCAAGTATTATAATTTCTCGCCTTTTATGATACTATTTTGTAAAGTACTAAATGAACAGTTCAAATTATTATGCTATGGAATTTTGCTGTATCATTTATATTCATTGACTTTAGTTGTTTTATTGAAGAAAAAGTATACAAGATTAATTTGTTTCACGATTAACTCACTTTATCTATCTTGTGGATGACTTAGTAAGGATATTTTTTGATGGATTTATGTATGAGGTGCAACCGAATCGTTTTTAAAAGTGTACCATGAAATGAAATTGATTTTTAGAACGATGATGAGTTGACTTTGTGTATTCATCATTAAAAAGTGATATTTTATTTTTATGTTCAGTCAATTAGAACTACGCTTTACAGTAGTAATGATCTTTCTAATAACTCTTTTCCTTATTGGATTTCTATAGTTTTTTTCAATAGGGTTGTGGAGATTGTTCAGCCACTTTGATATCATGAATCGATTGGTGTTAGATCACCATTAAAAACCTGAAAGCCCTGAAGGTTAATCATTCACGCACAAGACCGAAGGTCCTGGGCTCGAGTAGGGGTCAGGGATGTGCACTACTGATGAATTGCATACTAGAACGAAACGGCCGTCCAGTGCTTCGAAATGTCGATAATTGAAACAGTTAAGTGGACTGGTAAAGAACAAACCATAAAACGTTTGTTCTTTGGGTTATGTCATCATTAAATGACTTAAAGAAAAATACAGACTTATAAAAGTCACCTGTACGTTTTGTAGAACATTCTGTTGTTTACAGGTATGGTGAACGAATAATTTTTGTCTATCTCACAGTCTAAGGAAAAGAAATATAATGTATCAAAATATTTTGTGTATGCTTTTACAAAAACATTGACTTCATAACTGCGTAATTTACCAAATTAACTTTTCTGATAACTGATAGAATTACAAATTTTCAAC